GTTAATTGCTGTAATGGTCTTGATTCTTACTGAACTATCAAGTGAGCTATCTGGAGCAAAAACCATCTTTTGTAGCTTTTTCCTAATATCTGAAACTGAGTGGGTAATAAATTTGTCTTAAGAATAGTTTGCCCTGCTTTTTCGGGTCCTCCTTTCCAAGATGACGAAAAGAAGGAGGAACAACGGTCGTGCCAAAAAGGGCCGCGGTCACGTGCAGCCTGTTCGCTGCACGATCTACGCCCAGTGCGTACCCAAGGAAAAGACTATTAAGAAGTTTGTCATTTGGAACATAGTGGAGGCCACCACCGTCAGGGACATTTCCAAAGCGAGTGTCCTCGACGGTTATGTGCTTCCCAAGCTGGATGTGGAGCTGTGTTACCGTGTGAGCTGTGCCGTTCACAGCAAGGTGGTCAGAAATCGATCTCCTGAGGCCCGCAAGGACCGAACTCCTCCACCCCGATTTAGACCTGCTGGTGCTGCCCCACGACCTCCACCAAAGCCCATATGAGGGGAGCTGGGTCTTAATGGACTGAAGGAAACTCTCTTGAGAAAGAAATAATAAATTGAATGCTATACTTTATACAGCATGTTGAGTGTACCTGCCAGAGGTGGGTTGGGTTAATTCAGCCTATCCAAGTTTGTTTGTACTCTGAAAATGAATAATGAGGAACACACTGGAAGGGGTGTCAGGAGAAAAAAAAAGAATAGTTTGTCCAATCAGATCAGGTGCCAATGATGTATATTTTGTCAGTGCCTCTTGTAAATGATCTTAGAAGGCAGAGGGGGCCTCATCTTTCTCCTGATGAATAGTTGACAGTGTAAAATGATTGAAGGGCTTAGTTCTCATCCTTCTTAGACCTTCAGGAATGGATGTCTGAGGACGTCTTGTATTCCGATCTCCCATCTTGTTGGTAGGCCGTAGAGGTCTTGTGGAGGGACTTCTTGAATACCAGTAGGAACTGGCTGTTCCCCTGGCTACAGGTCTTGTGGCCTTCTAAAAGTAACAATGTGATACTCATCTCCAAATGTGATAGCATCTTCTAATGCTGCCTGTCTCTCATGAGAAGTCAATATGTGCTTTGAGAATAGCATTGTACCTTTCCAGTCCAATTCCCAGCTCTGAATAAATACTCTACAGATCTCAATGTACTTATCAGGATCCCCTGAAAAATTTCTCAGGCCTTCTTTGATCTGTTTGAGGTCATTGAGAGAAATAAGGGGAACCTCAGGCTCAGGAATAGTG